CTGTGTGGCGGGGGGGGGGGGGGGGGGGGGGGGGGGGGGAATAAAGGCCTCCTGTAGTGAATCCATGTGTATTTGTAAGAAAAATATCCATATTTCAAATATTTCTCTCACTTCCGTTAATACGCCGGTATTGCCGCCATTCATATACTTTTAATGATAGCCAGCAATGCAGCTCGCAGTCACTGAACGTGTATGGGTTGATAAGGTAAAACTCGGGACAAGTTTTCTTGCGCGCGTGCGTTTTTGACACGTCTTGACTGTCGTACAGTCTGACGGCGCGGGGGGGGGGGGGGGGGGGGGGGGGGGGGGGGGGGGGAATAAAGGCCTCCTGTAGTGAATCCATGTGTATTTGTAAGAAAAATATCCATATTTCAAATATTTCTCTCACTTCCGTTAATACGCCGGTATTGCCGCCATTCATATACTTTGAATGACAGCCAACATTACAGCCCCGTGTGCAATACAGCTCGCAGTCACTGAACGTGTATGGGTTGATAAGGTAAAACTCGGGACAAGTTTTCTTGCGCGCGTGCGTTTTTGACACGTCTTGACTGTCGTACAGTCTGACAATAATGACAACTGAGATCCCACAGTGTGACATGATCATCATGTTCGTACAGTCTGACAAGTACAATCCTAAAGGACTTTTAAAAAAAATCACACAGTGTGAGCCCGGCTTAAAGTAAACAGTCTCTCTGAGAGCAGCTTGGAAGAAAGGGGTGGGGTCAGCAGAGCTCATTAACATTTAAAGGAAAATGCTACAAAAACGGCTTGATCTGAAAAGAGCTGTTTTTGACAGGGTAAAAAAGGTGTTTTTTTACACTACCATTGAGAAATTTTAACCAAACTGTTACAGACTTTTCATTAAGACCCTAAAGAATCATATATCAACTTGTGGAAAATGGGCATCCTATGCCCCCTTTAACTGCTGACACTTGCATTTGAAAAAAAATTCTGACAGCACCAACAGGGGGTCAATCTTTGTCTAACATGAGCACGGATAACAAAAAAAAGCTCTGGCTTGGTCAAGGGGGTCATGAGACATGGCTGATCAATGGGAGTGAAACAATCCAGACCTTTTTTTCTCACTAGGATGACCTTCCAATAGATTCTAGTGCACCAGTACAGTTTGTTGAGTTTTGTTTCAAAGGTCAAGTCATGAAAGTGGAAGAATCTCCAGTGTTCTGACTTTATGCAATCATGCAATGCGGGCTTTTCCCAAATCAATGACTTCATTACAATTTCTCCCTATTAAAAAGAGCAACTTCTGGATGACAAATAAAACTTTATCGACCTTATTTTTCAACTTCGAATTAAGCTGTTTTCTGTGAATTTGCAATGCTTTGATTCATTAGCCGATATAGGTAAATAACTAGAATAACAAAGAGCAGTGAACGGTAAAATTATTTGGCTAGAAACCAGTGTTTGTATGATTACGATAATAAATAAAAAGAATGTGATAAATACAAGTTTGCATTATCACATTCAAGGCAAAAAAACTCCACTCCATTATATATATATATAGTATAAAATTTAAGGTTGTGCTATGTCCATTCACCCCCCAAAGATGGCCCTCTTCTGACCTGGGAGGTAGATAATGTACTTCCCTTTCAGCCAGACCAACTGGAATTCCCTCCCTCCTTACGTCCCCACCTGCCTCGTGCCACCTCATAAAATTGGGTCAACGCTAGTTTATCAAAACAACTGAAGCCTTGCCCAGACAATAGCAAACAGTCTCCTCTGCAGACTATCACACATTACCATCTGGTCACACACGTGCAAATCCACTTGTGAACATGAAGCAAAACTTGACCTTAGCGAACCAGCAAACATGGAAGGAATAGACACTTACTTTGTCCAGAGGCCTCTTTAGCTGATAGTGAAACTTCTCCTTCATCTCGTCCAGCAGCTGTTTGAGTTGCAGTTCCTCCGGTGTGCTCTCATGCTTGCGGCCCAGTTGTAGGTAGCAGGGCCACTTGGCTGAATCGAAGCCCCAGTGGCAGGTCCTCTTGTCGGGGGACTTGTGCGAGTGCATTACAAAGTTCTGTGGGGAAAAGAGCAGCTGGCATTCCATGCACTGAATACAAGGAGCGTCTGGCTGGACATAGAATTGGGGCACGAACAGGCCTTGGCACTTGCCCAGACACTGGTGCTCGACCTGGAAACTGGTCTCGCTCTCCTTCAGCAGGCCTGGGCCTGGCAGTTTGCTGTTGGGGTCTGCCGAGAAGGCTACACCCGGGCGGAGCAGGGCGTTGCAGAGGCGTTGGGCATCAGTTAGTGTGATCAGGCCACAGGAAGGTGCGTTGAAAGGCAGGATGCCCAGCACCTTGAGGATGTGCAGCTGCTCAGCATCGCATCGGGAACAGTAAACGTAAAGTTCGTCACAGACAGCGTTGATCTGCTGCAGAGAGAAATCTCGCAGAACCGAATTGAGTACCTGGGGCAGACAAAGGCGCTTCTCGCCACCTACAACAAAGCAGGAGATGGACTCTCCTTCGAGCAGAGAATGGGTGAGCTCTGTGGAGCTGTCGCAGGGAACCAAGAGCGGGCCGCCTCCGAGGACTGGCGGAGACGGCAGGGGAGCCATGCCAGCAGGAGAGGTGCACTCCTGCACAGATTTTGCTGAGAAGGCAGCAGGACCTCCCAGGGAGCTCTGGCTGCTCAGTGTGAACTGTGCCAGAGTGTGCTTGAGGCCGGCGCTGAGATCTAAAGCCTTGGAAGCCCCGACAACGTGGAATTCTCTTTCCTCAATGTCCATTTCTGAGCTGCTGTGTTCCTCGCGCTCCTTCTTGACCTTTGGGGGTTTGGGGACGCTTTCCAGGCTACACTGTTTCAGGTGCATCTCCGCCATTACCCGCTTTTTAATGGGTGCATCCTCCAGTCGCTCCCTGTACAGCCGCTTCATGTTGCCTTTGAATGACGTCAGGTCTTTGAAAGGGGTTTTCAGACTCATCTGAGGGCTGGCCATGTCCGAACACAGATGTTTGATCTTTCTTGGATGGTAAATATTCAGCTGTTCTTCAAACACAACACCTTTAAGTTGGTCCTTCTTTCCTCACTGTTAAAGTTTGCAAATCCTTTTAAGTCCAGCTATATGCATGATGGTGACAGAAATAATGGTCTAATGTGCTTCCTGTGAAGGAAACAAAAAGAATAAAAAATGTTTAAATTGTTAAAAACATTTAGCTCCAATTAAAATTTTACAAAGACAACGAATCAGAATGTAAAGCCACACAAACACGCATGAAAAGAATATGCTGTCAAGGGCAATAAAAAGAATCCAGAACAGTTTTTGTGTTCGGCACAGTGCTAAACTAGACGACAGAAACATTTTCACCTCATCGGGATAATCTAATTTGAGACCAATCGATCTAAGGACAGTTTCTCGGTGGTTTAGTGCGCTGTTTTTCTCTATTGACAACATGCCGAATCCGTCAACGCGTTAAATGAGTCAATGCACTAATAACGTCGGTTTAACACACCGATAACCAACAACAACCGTAACTAACAGTGAGCAGCCATTTAGTCCTGTCCAACCACAGCAAGCTTGAGATAAGATGCAACGTTAATAACTGTACATAACCCCCACATCTATGAGAAGATCAAATCACACGCGCCATCTATAATAGAGGAAAAGCTGACTGAATCTGATCGCAGAAGAAAAGCCTGAGTGATACTGACGGAAACGGTATTTCCTAGCAGGAATTTGAAGGCAAAATGAGAGATCAGCGCATGCCAATGAGCATGCTAAAAACCAGCACGAAACGCGTTTAATTCGTTATTCACAACATGCTTCTCTGTCCCACGAACCTTAAACGACGCATACTGGCCAAATTTAACACGGTCCCAAAGCGCAAGCTCCTCGAAATAAAACGTCATTTTCGCCTTGTTATAATTTACCTAATTTGTGTGACCGCTCGGGTAGACTGACCCTGACCGCAGATGTCGTTTCGTTTCCTCGTAAAATAACCATTTTCCAGAAACACTGACAAAATGCTGTCTATTTTTAACCCTGAGCGACAGTGTCATAATTCAGCTTTATTTCAATTAACAAAAATGTTTTTTGTTGATGGGTTTTTTAAAATTAAAATATGTCATATACGTCCACTGATTTTTCATCTTGCGCTATAGAAGTAGCAGCTTAAAAAAAACATTATCGGATATGATGTCTGAGATGACCTAATTATAAACCACCCAGACATGTTTACGGACATTAGTTTGAGTAACTGTTATGCTAGTACAAATGTTGTGGAGGTTTTTGCCAAGGACATTATGTAATAGCACTAGAACATTCTCTGATGCTGAGTAATGGCCTGGAGCCAATCCAGCAGTTTGCTTGGTCCACAGGGCTTCCACCATCTAATGGGCTTTTTATTTTATTTTTTAATGAACCCATGATGGGGTGCTGGGATCACCTTTGGTTCAGTATCCATCTCTGAGTGAGCCATTTGTTAGATGTCATTTAAATGTTAAATGGGAGAAGCTGAGCTATGAGGGTCTGAATTCAACAGCCCATTCACAAACACCTACTTGCATTAACACTTTTAAAGGCTTGTCCACCACACTGACCCAGGTCATGTTCAGCCAAGACGGGTTTGTGAAGATCTGAATAGTTTTGATGTGCTTAGAGGTGTTGTGTTTTTGTTTAGACTGAATAGTCACACAAAAGAACAAGAGGTTACATTGACACCTGCATTGGAATATCTATCATTTTAAAGCTTAAAAAGTGTTTTTTGCATTTGCCAGAATATGCAAAACACCAAAAGTCTGATCTGAACCAGGCTTGTGGATTTTAGTAGTATTTTAGTGTAACAGGAATATTATGTTTTTTAAATATTGTTACATTAATTTGGGTAATTAGCATGGAATTTAAGCAATGACAACAAGTCCCTGCAACCTCGAGAACTATTTTAAACCTTTTTAAAATTATTTTAGAATTACTGTATGTAATGCTGTTTTAATAAATGATTTGAGACACAGTAGAGATAAGTTCATGGATATGTATTGGTGTTAATTAATTAATTAACAATAAAGTAAATAAATAACATTTTATTTAATAAACATATATACATAAAATATATTTATAATACAAATTACTTGTGTACACACATATTATTTTTTATATTTTTTACTAAATAAAAAAAATAATTTAATACATACATATATATATATATACAGTATATATCTATATATATATATATATATATCTATATATATATATATATATTTAATGTTCTAAAATCTTTGAAAAAAACATGGAGGTTACTTGTCAACAACCCACTTTTATCCCTGCTAACTGTGATTTGAATATAACTAACATCATTTGCTGGTTGGGTATAAAATAAATTTTTACGAGATCAATGTCATCGGCCATGTGTGAGGTTTGATGCGCCAATGATCAGGGCCCATTTCAGTGGCGTTTTCACCAGTCGCTGCAGATAGCAAGGTCAGCAGATGTATTATGAAAGCAGGTGCGCCCACACACACAGTGTGCTGTGCCTGAACTCCAAACAGTGCATTGATTTTTTTCCCCAAAGGGTAATAACATCATCCCCGTATTGTGAGGAGTAATTTAAACTTAATATGGGTAATTACTCTCCAATAGCTGATAGTTCATTTAAAGCTTGACATAATGCTATTTGCGTGCAGGAGAATGAAGGATAAAGAATGCCAGGAAAATGGATTAAGCGCTGATGGGCCACACAGTTAGTCAGGCAGCTGTCTTCATTACAGACTATGGGACTAAGCCCTAAGCACCCCCCGAGGACGTATAGCTTCAGAGAAAATCTATATAGAAATGCATCATCAGACAGCAAGACAAACAAACGCTTATCGCCAGCACTAATGTTACAAGGCAGACTTGTGCTACCTGCTCTGAAAAGGAGTTTCATTCGGGTTGTTGTTTGAACAGACGATCTAAAGGAAACACACCTGGCTATACTTCCCTAAAGAATGATTCAGAATAGCAGATGTATTTTGTGTAAATACACTGTAAAAATGATTTTTCAAAGTTGTAAATAAAACAATTAATACTAGAGTAAGTTCTCTACCGCTAATCAAACAAGGTCACACATCTCTTCTTTAGAGGGCAAGCCTGCTCTTTCTTCCACAGGGAATCGTGTGCCCTGCTCTCGTGAGAAAGAGGACACAGAGACAATGTCACAGAGCACAGTCTGGCGCAGAAAAACATTCACATTCATCGTTCCTCACGGATTTACAGTAATGGCCAAAGTCATACAAGGTGAGTCGTTCCACCGGTACTGTCAAAGCCAGACGCGTGAGACGAGGTCCTCAACCATCTGGCCAACAAGGTCCAGCTCCGCACTCAGGCATGTTATACATATGTTTATTTAAATCACAGGAAGTGGATTTAAATTTTTTAAACTTTGAAATCAGATTATGTATGCATGGCGGCCACCGGTTCACATCACTGTATTAAATTTTTAATATCATGTTTACATATTAAGAGAGATTATTATTTGATGCGGACGGTTCAAGCCCAAAGGAAATTACAGCAATGAAATGGTTTGATGTTGGAACGTCACATTTTTTTGAGCTTCATTTGTTTAGTCTACAAATGCATATTATGTCTCTTACGAGATTGGTACTGATGTTAAATATAAAACGAGGTATACTGTAATGAACTAGCTCAAGATGACAAATGTTCACTTGTGATACTGAGGTTTAAAAAAAAAAACTTTCTCTTTTTTGTTTTATTGACCAGATGTTTCATCAAAAAATAAAATACACAAATATTTGTAAGAATTATTAGTTTTATGTAATCAATTTTGCAAAGGAAATTCATTACAAGTAGTTAGATGTGAATTGTCACAACAAAACAAATTGCTTTGACACTTGAGAGATGTTGAGTTTTCCTTAAATACTTTAATTAGGTGTTAACAAAAAACTGGTACAGTTTATCCAGTCGGTTGATAGTGTTTTTCCATGTGAATATTAATATACAGAATATCCAAAGAATAAAAAACAGGTCCACTTCAGCCCCCTGTTGCTTCTTTAAAGCATAGCACATTGTTTACTTTTTTTCTGGGAATGCATGGAGGGCTTTAAGCGATTCAATCATTTATAACGCCGGGTTGCTAACGAGTTCCTCACAGCTCGAAACCAGTGTGAACATCTGTGAAAATATAACCCAGTTGATATGTGCATGATGAGGAATGAGAGAGGGTTATTCTGTGTATGAGTCGCCTGTGTTTAATGTCATCATTTGGTCATTATTGTCAAAGGTCCTTTCAATGTAACACATAAACAAACAAAAATGCATCCAGACATGATCTGTTTACAAAGCGTTCCACTCAAAGAGCTCGGCGCCATTGATGGGGCTGTGAAGGGTAAACACAATCCAAGGCCCCTTACTACATCATGCATCTGATCTTTACCGTGACTGTAACGAGAAACAATGAACTCATGTCCGATGACGCTCAGTGTTAAGTATATAAACGGAATATCATACCCAGAAAGGCAATGTATCACATTTAACACAAAAAGCAAGAAATAAAAGAAGAAAAAGTGAGAAATACTTCATACATGCAGCAGCTGAAGAGTAAAAACAAACTTTTACCTCATCAATATGGAGAACACTGACAGGAACCTACTCATTTTAGTGTCTTATTTTGGTCCTGTGTTGAAGAAAGCTGTTGTATTTTTCTCCTTCCTTCCCCCTCTATACAGAAATCTTCTCCTTTCACAGTTTGTCAGTATTTACAACAGTGTTCCCTGCTCCATTCTTACAAGTTTGATACCTACTTCAATCTACGACGAGGCCATATGCCCAATCATTTTAAAACAACTTATGGAAAACTCTGATTCAATATATTGTGCACATTCTATATAGATGCCAGTATTCTTAAATAATAAAAAAACAACAACAATAAAACAAAGTATAAAGTTTTTCTTCCTTGCGCTACACTTTTTTTCTGAGAGGCAGAGCAGATAATCACAAAAAAAAGTCTTAAAAAATATCCCATGTGGTATAGAGTTTAAAAATGGCTTAATATATATGCTCAATGGATTCTCTTTAATATATACAAATAAAATGTGTATCCAACATCATTACCACTAGGAGTTCCTGCGTACCATCACAGTCATTCTAAAGTCTTTTCCTTTAGTTTGCAGTGTTCAGTAATCCAAAACTGGCATTCCAACTACGTTGGTCAATGCACAAAGGCACTGATAAATTTCATCAGTGCTGATTTACATGTCACAAAAATAAACAAGAAAAAATAGACTTAAGGACTAGTGGTTACAAATGGCAGAAAGTGAAAGAAGTTTGGCAAAGTTAATGTTTCATCTGGTCCCAACAAAATGAAGTCAGGTTGTTGTTTCCTTTCTGATTGTTTGCGACCATGCAAGAAAAGGCAGTGATGATATGCACGTAACAGAAACACACAAGCCGTTCACACACACTCCTCCGCTGACATCAGCAGAGGGTTGATGTACTCAAAGCCTTCAAATTCAGACTGGTCGATCTTCTTTACAGCATCACTGGGAGGGAGACAAAGACATAATCAATCAGTCTGAACTGCTATGGCACATTTAACACATTACGGCTTTCAAATAGAGTCCAGGCTGGAAAACAGGGATATATGGAAACTAGGGAATCCTGTTCACAGAACTATAATGTGTCATCAGGGATCGTAAATTTGATATTACTTCCCGATGAAACCTGCATCGCTGTGGTAAGGATCTGAAGCAGATTAATGATGCCTGAGGTCTGATTCAGAAAGCTTGAGGCGTGACACAGACAGATACACATGAACAGACACTTACTCATCATCAGGCGTGAGCTGAATGGGCTCATTGGTGAACTGGTCATCAAAGTTATCCAGCCCAAACTCGCCAGAGATGTTGGGCTTGAAGGGCGGAACCACTTGCTTCTGCTCCATCTGTGAAACAGTTAACATGAGTCAATTAATGACTATGAATATGTGTCATAAAGCAGTCTCACACTTCAGCATGCAGTGCTCATCTTACTAAATATTAACCAGTAATTGCATATGGCAATGGTTTAAAAAAAAGCAACAACAGTGACCTATTCATATTATTAAAAAAAAAGCATTAAGTCTCTTATGCTCATCAAGGTTGCATTTTTTTGATAAAAATACAGTAAAAACAGTAATATTGTGAAATATTATTACAATTTAAAATTACAGTTTTCTATTTCTAACGGTTCTCCTGTGATGCAAAGTTGAATTTTCATCAGCCATTACTAGAGTCTTCAGTGTTACATGATTCTTCAGAAATCATTCTAATAAGTTGATTTATTATTAATATTGAAAACAATTGTGCTGCTTAAAGAGATAGTTCACCCAAAAATTCAAATTCTGTCATTAATTACTCACCCTCATGTCGTTCCAAACCCGTAAGACCTTCGTTCATCTTCGGAACACAAATTAAGATATTTTTGATGGAATCCGAGAGCTTTCTGACCCTCCATAGACAGCAATGCAACTGTCACGTTCAAGGCCCAGAAAGGTAGTAAGGACATCGTTAAAATGGTCCATGTGACAGCAGCGGTTCAACCGTAATTTTCTAAAGCTACGAGAATACTATTTGTGCGCAAAGAAAACAAAAATAATGACTTTATTCAACAATTTCTTCTCTTCCGTGTCAGTCGACGAGCGTTCACAAGAGAACCACGACGAATGCGTGTGGTGCTGCGCAGGAGCCGGTGTTCTTACGTAGACATGGTTCAGTAATTATGTAGAGGAATGTACATACATGTGTCATAGTACTCTCGCGAACGCATGTCAAAGGCTGACATGGAGGAGAAGAAATTGTTGAATGAAGTCGTTATATTTGTTTTCTCCTCATAAAATTAAGGTTGAACCACTGATGTCACAAGGACTATTTTAACAATGTCCTTACTACCTTTCTGGGCCTTGAGCGTGGTAGTTCTGCTGCTGTCTATGCAGTTTCAGTAAGCTCTCGTATTTTATCAAATATTTCTTAATTTGTGTTCCTAAGATACGGGTTTGGAATGGCATGAGGGTGAGTAATTAATGACAGAATTTTCATTTTTGGGTGAACTATCCCTTTAATACCTTTTGGAGGATTCTTTGATGAACAAAAAGTAAAAAAGAACAGCAATTATTCAAAATAGAAATCTTTTGTAACAATATACTACCGTTAAAAAGTTTGGTGTCAGTATGTTTTTTCTTTTTTCTTGTTTTCTCCAAAAACCACTGAAGAACAATCTCAGCAAGGATTTAATATTATATTTAGGCAAACCGAAAAGGGTTCTCCAGGGTTTGTTCAGTACTGCTATTAGTTTGGCCTTCTCTATGCTGTAAACTTAACAGGGCTGCAAGGTCAGGATCTGCTCTCCCTACAGGTCGACTCGGGCACTGCAGCCTGCCTGAGTAGAAAGTGTAATCTGAGCCCTTCAAACTGCCTGACCGCCACTTTGTGTGAGTGTGTGTGTTCACCCAGACCAAACAGGGACAAGAGGTCACTGTGCTCGTCTGAGTCTTGTCTGCTGGTTTGACATCATTTAAACCTGCCTCACACATGATACAGTTCACTGTCACAACCTCAGACCAGAAAAATCAATGATTTGACACCTTATCACCTTCATTAAATCACCAGCCTTACACGTGATCGTTCATGTCATGATACAACTATGAACCACCAAAAGGCTCACTTCTCGTCTGCTAGATTATTTAAATTATTTGAAAAGAAATCATAAAATGAATGTGAAAAAAATGTGAATTACCATTTAAAGTCCCTCTGTAGTGAAAATCAAGTTTTTTATGTTGTTTATTTGTCTATGTGGTGTTTTTAATATGCTTTTAGACAAACCAAGTGCCAATCTATTAATCAACACCATTGCTGTGTATTTTCTCCTTAAAACTGTAGTTCCCCAAAGGCTGACCCAGAAATATGGTTTGAAACAGCCCTTGGTTTGCTACGTCACAAACCAATAACCAATCACGGCAAGGGATCGATTCCTATCACTAGCATGCAAAATATACCAATACCAGCACAAAACCAAAAATAAATCAGAGCAAAAAACCCATGAAACTGTGGTTTAATGTGAATTTAGAACCGCTAACTTGCATTATAACTGGGGAAGTCGTGGCCTAATGGTTAGAGAGTCGGACTCGTAACCCAAAGGTTGCGGGTTTGAGTCTCGTACCGGCAGGGATTGTAGGTGGGGGGAGTAAATGTACAGCGCTCTCTCTCCCACCTTCAATACCACGACTGAGGTGCCCTTGAGCAAGGCACCGAACACCCAACTGCTCCCCGGGCGCTGCAGCATAAATGGCTGCCCACTGCTGCGGGTGTGTGTTCCGGGTAAATGCAGAGCACTAATTCCTAGTATGGCTCACCATACTTGGCCACATGTCACGTCACTCACTCACTTCACTTAACCCGTGGCAACAGTGTAAAAGCAGCCCCGAGTCAGCCCCACCTCTCCCGCAGCTGCGTCTGCACTTCACACGCGTATGCTCGCGGGCACGAATTAACAATCACAAACGGCTGCATTCGAGTCTTCAAGGCATTTTAGGACACAACATCGTCAAGTAAGTAACTTTAACGAATGTTACAGTATTCACTGTAGTTGTCCGCTAGTAAAAACATAGTTTTATCAGTCATTATCCGTGTATGCCATTGTTTTGCGTTTACTACAGTTCAGTGGATCAGGAGGCGCTGGCTGGTGTGACTGAGTGGAGGCGGGACTAATTTGCATATTCATAGATTCGCGTATAGTAAATGAGGCAAGGGTGTAGAGTTACATTCAAGCTATTTTAATCATGAGAAAATTATTTTAGCAAAAAAACAACATTTAAATATGTCATTTTGATGATCAAAGATAAGTTTTAAGGGATAAAATATTTGACTACAGGGTGACTTCAATAATTACGTAAATCAGGAAATTTAAAGGATAGTTTACCAAAAAATTATAATTTTGTCATCATTTAGTCACACTCATGTCATTTCAAACCCTTATGGTTTTGTGTCTATTTAAAAAATTATACATAGTGCAGCTATATCACAACAGTGATATATTACTGTCTTATTGATGATGATGATGATGATGATAATAATAATAATAATAAAGTAAAGACTCACAAAATCATGAAGGAAACACTGTATAAATATATTTTAAAAATACAGCTGTAAATATTGACTAGTTTTTAGGTGAACAATACTTTTAAAGCTGATGTTCCTGAAATGATACTTTAAGTGGTAATAGTGCTCACATCAAATGACATGAATGAGTAATCAAATGGTTGGTTACTCAAGGTCATAAACAACACTAAATAGTTATTCAGGCTCCAGAAAGTCCTCTGTTTAGTTTCACTAGCGTCAGGCTACAGCGAATGACTCATGCTTCCGTTGTGGGCTCGAGTCAAAACATCCAATAAGTAAGATAAAGGAAACAGAGATAGCGGTGACTCACAAGATCCCAGTCTACATTTCGGAAAAAAGGATGGGCCATGATGTCTGCAAAGCCTGTCTGGGGGTGACATCCGAGGCGTTCCTTTGGTTCCTACAAAAAAAGGGGGGAAATAAATAAATAAATGAGGGAGAAGAAACAAGACAGCAAAGAAACAAAAACAGATAAACAAAGAGAGTAGAGATGTTAGAGTGAAAGAAAGAAGTAAAACAAAGGTGAGGAAGAAAAGACGAAAGGAACAATGATTATGACAGCACTAAAACAGGTTCATGTGACATAAGGACATTAACATTGATATGTCTGGTCTGCTTTACCTTGTTGAGGAATCCCTTCAGCACGCTAGCAGCTTTAACCGATAACGATCTGGGAATTCTGATCTGCTTCTCCAAAATTACTGCAAATGAGGAACAGAAAAAAATGAATGGGATATACTGAGAGACATATACAAATTTTTTTGAAACATGCATGCTTGTCATGTACCTTGAAAAAGATAATCTTCAGTGTTTTGGTCAGGGTTATCAGAGCTGCCGACTATGTCAAATGGTGACCTCCCAGCCATCATCTCAAACATCAGGACGCCCAGTGCCCACCAGTCCACACTAAAACCTGTAGAGAAAACATGCACACACAAAGTTGAAATAAACTTAATAAATCTTTAGCCTCTGAAACGGGAAGCTTAGCACTGACATAAACTCAAATGGCAGAAAGTCATGAAGTAGACACTAATAGCAATAAATGGATTAAGCACTGTGTGCCAGTGCACATAGTTGCCAACTGAAAGTCTTTGTGAAAAGGCTTGGCTGTGTGTGAAATGTGCTTACCATAGTCTTCTCCTCTCAGAATCTCAGGTGCAATGTAATTGGGGGTTCCACAGAAAGTGCTGGTTGTGTCTCCTGGTCTCAGTCCCTCCTGTATAAGAGATGAATATTGACCAAAGATTTAACCAAAGAAACATTCAGGCACAAAATACGATGAGTGATCTTTTTTTTTTGATGGCCAATGGCTATATCTTAGAGACCATATACATGGAATTTAGATATATCACAATATTTAATATTTAAAGGTAGTAAATAACACGTGCATCATTTCTGCACAAATTGTTTTATTTTAGATAATATTTACTAAAAAAAAAAAAAATGAATCAATTTGAAGAAAAATGTAAAAAAAAAAAATATATATATATTTTTAAAACAAAGAGACACATACTTCATGATTAAGTAATCCTATTATAGTACTTTACACAAATACAGGAAAAGATAAAAACACAAATTAAACGAAAGTAAAAACTGTAACCAGCAGTGCATTCAGTAATATGATATGTTTGTGCACAGGGAATTATTTTAAAGAGCAGGTAACATTTTTACATACAGTACACAATGAATTTGAGATAAATATGACATAGCGGCAAACTTGAAATCTCTTTGAATTCGCCAAAGTTTCAAAATCATTTGTATATTTTCCCATAGTGTGTTGTGGGTGGTTGCCAGGGCACAGCTATGAGGTTTCAAGGATGTTGCTTGGTGCTTATTTACTTCAAGTTTAAAGAACCCACCCTCAAATCTCTGATATTCTGGACAGTAGGTATGGCTTAATCAAATGAAGCTTAACTCTTTCCCCGCCAGCTTTTTTTATTTATTTTTTAAAGTTGCCAGTCCCCACCAGCATTTTTGATCATTTTCACAGTTAGCAGTATGTCAGCAGTATGTCAAAACAAAGAACAGTATGTAACAGTTCCTGGATCGTCATTTCATTCAGTAATGTTAGGCAGTTTTGATTTATATAATGATTAATGTTTGATGATCACGTTATTTACATATACATCTGCTTACATACGCGAACGCTTGGTTCTGCTTCTCGCCGTGTTTTGAGCCAGACGTTCAATACCTATTCAGAAGATGCGTAATAGCGTCTCCTACAATACAGCAGTGAAAACACGGAAAGCCAGAAAATTCCGTCAATGGCGGGGATAGAGTTAATCAACTGAGACAATGAACATATTCAGACTAACCTTACACATGCCGTAATCAGTGAGTTTGATGTGTCCCTCTGACTCCAGCAAAACATTGTCCAGCTTCAGGTCCCTGTAAATGATTCCACGCTCATGGAGGTAGTTCAAGGCGAGACTGATCTCTGCGGAGTAAAACCTGCCAGCAGAAAGAATAAGAGAAACAGTTAATGATATCATTTGTGTTTCTGTTCCTGTGGTGTGCCATTCAGTAGTGTTGGGTTCGAGTCCACCTAAATCGAGTCCAAGTAGAGTCCGAGACAAGTCTGAGTCTAAATTCAAGGGTGGGGGTAAAGGAGTAGGTATCTTGGTGAATGGGAACTTAAGAGCAGAAAATGCACCTTTTATCTCAATATAAAACAAGCTTTATATCATTTTTAGATTTTCAATGAAATATGAATTTTGAATAATCAAAATTAATTTGTGTCTGCTTATTCTATTCATCAGGGTTTGAACCATTAAAGAAGAAACTGCATTTTAATTTCTGGGTTAAAAAAACGAAAAATGAATGGACGCCAAAGTACACGGACCCCTTAGACAGGGCATTTTGAATTTTTTCTTGAATGAAAATGAGGCTGTGAGGGATAAACCTGGTCTGTACAATGGCACACACTGTGTATAAAAGCCCTACATATACTTTCCATAAGTCACAGGCAACTCACACCTGCTTTATTTTTGAATGCATTTATAGTTACATTAATTACAATAAATTACGTTATGTAAGGAATAATTGATGATGGGCCGTTGAATTATTAGAAAATAATGCACACCCAAGGTGATTTTGGACCCATAAAAACTATTGCCACACAGATGTTTAGAAGCTAGAAACTGCCACTAATACAAAAGCAAAAAATAATAAACT